GGAGTGTAAATTAGTTCAACCATTGTGGAAGACAGTGTGGTGATTCCTCAAGGACCTAGAAAGAAAAATTCCATTTGACCCAGCAATCCCATTACTGGACATACATATCCAAAGGATTATAAATCATTCTATTATAAAGACACAGGCACACCAATGTTCATTGTGGCACTGTTTACAATAACAAAGACCTGGAACCAACCAAAATGCCCATTGATGATAGGCTGGACAGAAAAAATCTGGCACATATACACCATGGAATACTATGCGACCATAAAAAACGATGTGTTTGTGTCCTTTGTAGGAACATGGATGAACCTGGAAATCATCATTCTCAGCAAACTGACACAAGAACAGAAAATCAAATACCACATGTTCTCACTCATAGGTGGGTTTTGAACAATGAGAACACTTGGACACAGGGAGGAAAGCATCACACACTGGGATCTGTTGGGGGGAGCTAGGGAAGGGACAGCAGGGGGTAGGGGGTTGAGGAGGGATAACATGGGGAGAGATGCCAGATATAGGTGATGGGGATTGAGGCAGCAATCCACATTGCCATGCATGTACCTATGCAACAATGCTGCATGTTCTTCAAGTGTACCCCAGAACCTAAAGTGCAATTATGTATACATATATACACATATGTATACATGTATATAAATATGTATGTATATATTATGTATATATGTATGTGTGTGTGTGTATATATATATACACATATATATGTATATATATATATAGAGAGAGAGAGAGAGAGAGAGGGAGAGAGGGAGAGAGAGAAACAAAAAATAATGGATGTTGGTGAGGATGTGGGGAAAACGGAAGTTTGTGTACTCTGTTGCTGGGAATGTAAACTGGTGCAGCCACTCTGAAAAACAGTATGGAGATTTCTCAAAAAGCTAAAAACAGAATTCCATCCAGCAGCCCCACTACTATCTACCCAAAAGAAACCAATAGTTCCAAGGAATGCAAAGCATTTGCATTTTTGTTGCAGCACTATTCACAGTAGCAAATATATGAAACAAACCTAAATATCCACCAATGGATAAACAGGTAAAGAAAATGTGGTAAATATACATAATGGAATACAATTTGGTGATAAAAATATGAAATCATATCGTTTGCAGCAACACAAATGGTCATTATATTAAGTAAAATAAGCCTGGCACAAAAAGATAAATGTTGTATGTTCTTACTTACATGTGGAAGCTAATAAATTTGATCACATGGAGGCAGACAGTAAAAATGGATCATGGAGATTGGGAAGGGAGGTTGGGGGAGGGAGACAGATGAAGAGAAACAGATTAAGGGTACAAACATGCAGTTAAATAGAAAAGATAAATCAATGTTTGACACCACAGTAGGGTTACTATAGTTAACAAATAATGCATTGTACTCAGGTGATGGGCATCCTAAACACCCTGATTTGATAACTATGCATTACATAACATGTAACAAAATTTCACCTGTACCCCAAAAATGTGTTTTAAAAAATTAAAAAGAGGAAGACAGGGGAACTAAATAGAGGAATCTTACATAAGAGAAAGGCAAAAAGAATTCCCAAATTGCAAGGTGAAAGAAATATTAGGATTACAGCTGTGAAGCAGCTCTAAAGAGCAGAGGTCAAAGAATAGATAGATGTCATGATTTTAAAACTAATAACAAACTTGCTTAAATAATTAATGTGTCAGAACATAGTGAGAAGAGAAGATTTACACTGTGGGGGATCAGGAGAGAATTAATGATAATTTAAAAGTGAAAAAGAGGTGCTTAGAATCAATACACTGAAGAAAAATTTTGCACTGAATGGCAAGAAAACTCACTCAAGACTACTGCAATAGAGGAGACAGATTGAACTCAATTCTAAATACAACAGGCATATCAGCCTAGGTGACAGACTGAGACCTTATCTCAAAAATAAATAAATAAATAAATAAATAAATAAATAAATACAACAGGGATAAGTGAAATATATACCCAAGGGGCATGATGAGGGAGTCATTAGATAGAAACATAGTAAGAGGGGGCCAGGCATGGTGGCTCACATCTGTAATCTCAGCACTTTGCGGGCTGAGGCAGGTGGATCACCTGAGGTCAGGAGTTCAAGACCAGCCTGACCAAGAAGGTGAAACTTTGTCTCTACTAAAAATACAAATATTAGTAGAGCCGTGGTGGCAGGCACCTGTAATCCCAGCTACCTGGGAGGCTGAGACAGTAGAAGTTCTTGAACCTGGGAGGTGGAGGTTACAGTGAGCCAAGATCATGCCACTGCACTCCAGCCTGGACAATGGAGCAAGACTCCATCTCAAAATAAATAAATAAATAAATAAAAATACTAAGAGGGCCTTGGTTAAGTATCAAGGATATTGGGAGAGAGGAATTTGATTAGACATCAAGGGTAGGGAGGAGAACCTGATTAGATATCAAAGGTGGTAGGATTCTCTATAAACTGGCTAGGCAGCATCCTTTGCTAAAACTAGACATGGCAAGCCAACGATGGGGCCAAAGATAAAGGCTAGGGAAAAGGAGGGCTCAGAGGAGCCTGACTACATTTGGTCAATAAAGGAGTCTTTGTCAAATGAAATATGGCCCCTTCCTTCCTTCCTTCCTTCCTTCCTTCCTTCCTCCTTCCCTCCCTCCCTCTCTCCCTCCCTCCCTTCTTTCTTTTGTTCATTCATTCTTTCTTTTGTTCTTTCTTTCTTGTCTGTCATCCAGGCTGGAGTGCAATGGTGCCATCATAGCTCATTGCAACCTTGAACTCCTAGGCTCAAGAGATCTTCCCACCTCAGCCTCCCAAGGATGTGGGACTACAGGCACGTGCTGCCATGCCTGGCTAATTTTTTTTTATTTTTGGTTTTTCTGGAGATGAGAGCGTGCTCTGTTGCCCAGGAAGGTCTTGAACTCCTGTCCTCAAGTGTTCCGCCCACCTTGGCCTCCCTAAATGTTGGGATTACAGGTATGAGCCACAACGCATGGGCTATCCTTTAAAGACAAACGCAAAATGCTTGTTTTGTTATTTTTAATACATTTTCCCAGATGATTTCTGTAAACCAAAAATAAAATTCTATGGCCCCACTCTTGGCCAGGGAACTCCAAAGTTAGCCTGAAAGACTGGTTCAGGCCATAATGGCAGATTGGACATGACTTATTATGCCCTCCTCCCTTTTGGAATTCAGGAAAAGCTGACCAGCATTTAACATCAACACAAACCCTAAGTCTGATAAGAAACATTTGCCATCTACTCTCTTTTGAAACTTGCTACGTGGAGGCTTCAACCTCATACTGAAACCCTGGACTCCACAACCCCTTATCACAACCCAGACATTGTTTTCTACTGATAATAACTCTTTCAACCAATTGCCAATGAGAAAATTTTTAAATCTACCTATGACCTGGAAGTCCCCACTTTAAGTTGTCCTGTCTTTCCATATTGAACTCCTGTAAATCTTACATGTATTGATTGATGTATTATGTCTCCCTAAAATGTGTAAAAGCAAGCTGTATTCTGACCACCTTGGGCGCATGTGGTCAGGACCTCCTAAGGCTGTGTCATGGGTGTGTCCTTAACCTTGGCACAAAAAACTTTCTAAATTGATTGAGGCCTGTCTCAGATACCTTTGGGTTCACATTTCACACATAGAAATTATGAGAACAAATTTTTACAGAGGCCTAGAAGAAAGCACCATAAACTTTGCAAAATAAGTGCAGAAGAGGCAGATGATAGTAATATGACACTCCCCCCAATAATAACCCCCCGCAAAAAATGGCTGGTGCGCTGAAGTAAACTTTAATTCCCCTGTAGTTTCAACTAGGCTCAGCCATGAACGTGGGGAAGGCTGGCATTCATGCAATGACACTGGGGTTCTCTACTACATGTCTGGTCATCTTATCAGTCCCTTATATCTGCCCACAACCAGTTCCCAAAGAGAAAAAGCGGTGTTCGTTTGCCAGGAAAATTGGAGTTTAACTAAAAGTAAAGGGATCTATTTGAAAAGGTAAATGTATCTGCCTTTAAAGAATAAACGGATCTATCTTTACACCTGATAACAAAGAAACAAAATCTTAAATGGATAAAGCTTGTGTGATGAGACCAAATCAAATGAAGTAAGGAAGCTGAATTTTGTTTAACTTAAATGACAGAGAATAGACATGGCCTGAGTTACATTTAAAAAAAAAAAAAAATCACCCTGAATGCTGTGTAGAGGATGGGTTGTATGGGGCAAACATGAAAGCATGGATGCCAGTTAGATAATTACTGCAGCCAGTGATTTGGACTAAGAGGGTAAAGGTAAAGAATAAAAGGAATAAACAGATTTGAGATCCATTTTAGAGGGTGAACTGACTAGACTTGCTGATGGATGGACACGGGGTGACAGAAAAGAAAAAATCGAGAATGACTTCTAGGTTTTTAGCTTGAACAACTAAGTAGATATGCCATCTACTGAAATAATAAAGACAAGAACAGATTTGCGAGGGGAATCAAGAATTCTGGTTTCAAATGATTATTAATCATCAAATTTCATATCGAGGAGGTTGGATATATAAGTTTAGATCTTGGTGGGGCTAGTGAAATAAATTTGGAAATTATCGTAATTCTGGTGGTTTATAAAGAGAAGAAATGAGATTCCCTAGAATGAGGATAAAGACAGAAAACAGAGAAACCAAAATCAAGCCTATAGAATACTCAAAAATTTAGGAGTTGAGCAAAGAAAACCCAAAAGGAGTGAAACAAAAGCTAATGACATGGGGAAAAAATCCGAAGAACATGGTATCAGGGAAGCCAAGTGTCTTTTAACAGTGGAAGAGTGGTTAAGCACATGCCAATTGGTCAGTAAGATGAAATCACAAAGAATGTTAGTCATCGTGTTTGACTAGCTGGTGTCACTATAAATCTTGGTGAAAATGAAAACTATAGTAAAGTGGATTAGGGAGGAATGGAATGTGAGGGGTTAGAATAGGATGTAAAGAAATTGGTGGAGATAGTATAAGGAGTTCTTTGAAAAAAAGCATCTAACTCCCACTCTTTTTCAGAGAGAAAGAGACACAGAGAGAGAGAGCACACAGGAAGGGGGCTAAACTTGCTTGCATAACAGTCCCGCTCTTTCAGTAACGCTAATCCATTCATGAGGGCAGAGGCTTGTGATCCAATCACCTCTTATAGGCCCCACCTGTCAACACTGTTGTATTGAGTATTAAGTTTCCAACACATAAACTTTGGAGGACACATTCAAACCGTAGCAGAGAGTTATAAGCACTTCCTCATGGAGACTGCCAATCTCTCAGAAAAGCTGTGTGAACAGCTTGTGACAGCTGCCCGAACGGCTGTTCCACAGGCTGTGGACAGGTGAGTGAGCGGTGATGCAGGGTTTGGGTGTTCTCTCTCTTTCTCTCTTCTTGTGAAGGGAGGAATGGGGAAATGAGACAACCCCAAATCCACAGTGGTCTTACAATTTACCAAGACACAGGGTCCTAATTCTCCTGGCAATGACAAATATCGAAAACCAAGATCAAAAGTCCCCAGTAACAAAGAAAGAAAATGTTTGGCCCCACCCTCGAAGGGCAGGAGTGCTGAGGGAAAGCAGGGCTCTCATTCTGAGTGAGTTGAGCGCCAAAAGCTTTATGTCTAGTCTTGAGACATCAGCTGGCCCTTAGTGGGGAGGAAGAAAAACACTGTGATGTTATTCAATAGTACCTCCAGACCAGCCCCTGGAGAAATTATTCCAAGTTCCTCAAACAGTGGAGCCAGTAAAATTGAAAGAGTAAGACTACCTCTTGGGGGCCTAAAATATCTGTGGCCACTATGCAAAAATATCAGGTTGGACCACCCAAGATTTTCAGAGTGGTATTCATTTTTATTGAGAGGATGGCTTCTTCAACCAGGAGCAGGCCACAGGCTAGAGCGGTGGCGATGGAGAGCAGAGAGGTGGTCCCCAGAGCAGCAGTCTTGAGAGGGGATGGGCCAGTGAGCCGCCTGAAAACAGAACACACAACAGCAGAAAAGCTACAACAGCTGCAGAGGACCATGTGGAAAGGGAGATGCCTCAATGGTTTAGAATTCTATAATAAAACAGTGGTGGTTTGGAAGAAACCCCAAGACAACTGCTATGAAACCTGTGAAGCATAATTTAGGCACCCCAAACATGCCTCTGTCCTGAGGCTCTTGTTGCTGCCTGGAACATTCCTCCTGGGCTGAAGTAGGACCAACTTCTTATTATTCAGGTATGAGCTAAAATGTATGTCAGGGCAGAGGTCATCCCTATTTAAAGATCTCCCTGTGATAGTCTAATGCAGCCCGCTGTGTTTTTCCTTGAGAGTACTGCATTTCACTGATTCTGATATACACTTTTTTTTTTTACATTTTAACATCTCTGAAGTTGGGATGAGTCTTATAATCAATACCACATCATAGTTTAATTGGCCACAGTTTTTCTAAGTGATTTTTTAAAATATGTATTTTATAACCTGTGTGATTTCTATTCAAGAAAATAGGGTTTTCATCACACTCAGTGAGTGTCGTTTGTATGTTTAGTGATTGTCTAAACTCTATAAAAACTGTAGGCTTCTTTAAAGAAGCACCAGAATGTAGTACAACGCCTGGTGTGTCATATGTATTCAGTAATGATTAATCAAATGACTGGATTCATTAAGTTTATTTATTAATTTAAAATTTTTTGAGACAGGGTCCTACTATGTTGCTCAAGCTTATCTCGAACTCCTGGGCTCAAGTGATCCTCCCACCTTGGCCTCCCAAAGTGCTGGGATTATAGGCATGAGCACAGAGCCCGGCCTGAATTCATAACCTTAGGGTTGTATAGATCTCAGCTGAAAAATGCTGTACACAATACTATGTATCATCAGGTAACTTAAGCTTTTTGGACAAAATTAAATAGATAGTCTTTCTGTCAGAATCACATGTACCCAATATCTTACCTCAAAGTACTGGTATTTTTATTTTTTGGGTTTTTGTTTTGTTTTGTTTTTTGAAACAGAGTCTCGCTCTGTTGCCCAGGCTGGAGTGCAGTGGTACAACCTTGGCTCACTGTAACCTCTGCCTCCAGGGTTCAAGCGATTCTCCTGCCTCAGCCTCCCAAGTAGCTGGGACCACAGGTGCACATCACCACAGTAGCTGTGGTTTTTTTGTATTTTTAGTAGAGATGGGGGTTTCATCACGTTGGCCAGACTGGTCTCAAACTCTTGACCTCAAGTGATCTGCCCGCCTCAGCCTCCCAAAGTGCTGGGATTACAGGCATGAACCACCGCACCCAGCCTCAAAGTACTAGTTATAAGCAGAAATTTCCACACAAGTAGAGATCTTAAAACAAAGAACACTTATATCTGTCTAAGCACAACAAATTTTTTGTATTAGACATTTCTCAGAAAACTACTTTTAAAGGGGAGATATTAATAGAAACTATGAGGCATCTCTCAGCGTAATGCCTGGGTGCTTTGACAAGTATGCTATTTTTGAACATGGAAAAAAACTCATTGTCATATATTATGACCAGTTTCTCCTGCTTAATACTATAGTTAACTCTAATCCTATGTTTATAACCTCTTAATCTATTTCCATGGAGGAAATAGATTTCGCCTTATCTATTCACTTGGTACTAACTCAAATAAGTAGAAAAACCAGGGGATTTAATTGCTAAAATAATTTAGCAATTAGCAAATATTTCAAGAAATGCCAGTTAGAAACATAGAAAACATAAATGGATTTCAATGCATGGTTGATCTTTTTGAAAATTTTCCTCTGAATGAATGAACGCCCTTCTTTAACACTGATGCAAGGCTCTGGATAAATCTCATTATTATGAAAGTCCCCAATAGTGAGAATTTAAATATAAATTTATGCAAAATGAGAAAAATGGGTCACTCTGCCACTGCCTTATTCCTGGAATTTTTTAGCAAAATAGAGCTGAGAATAAAAATCATCTCAATTTCACAATACACCATGTCTCCCTGGTAACATTCAGATAATGGTTCTGAAGCTGTTTGGTGTGATAGAAGAAATGCATTTTGAGCTTGGGCAGATCACACTGCTCGGGACCTCTGTTTCTGCTTTTGCAAGTCTGACTTGTCAAGGGCCCCTCCCATCTCCTCAGAGAAACCTTCCATACATCCCTGGTCAAAATCAGTGTCTCCTTCCTCTTCTGGGCCCACCTAACATTTAGTTTCTACTTCTTGTGTAGCAATTATGCAGTCAGCCCTGTAGTATAAATGAGTGTGTGTGCATTTGTCTACCTCAGAAGGCTCTGAACTCCTGGAGCATCAGGACTGATTTTATTCAGTCTTGGGTCTTGCACACGGAAGGTGACTCATATTTTGCCATATCAAATTGAATTGCTTTATAAGATTAACTTTGGCTTATGCAGTTTATGCTCCCTAAGGTTTTGTTTTTATGTACTAGCATTGCAGATTTGAAAAAAAAAAATCCAGCTCATCTGAAACCCTCATGGGTCTTTTGTGTGACATAGAATGAGGAGCTGAGCTGAGCCCAACCTCAGTTAAGAGAATGCCTCCAGCAGTTCAGACCAAGCTCATGTCCTTAGGTAAGACTGGCAGGGGCTTCGCTGGGCCCTGGGAGGAGACAGGAGTCCTATGAGATGAGAAAATTATTCCCTTAGGTTCTGAGAGAAAATGGCAACGCTCTATTTGTGGACTATACAGCCATTAGAGACCCATATTTATACAGTCTAATCCTGGGTCAAATACTCATTTTCTAGGTAATGATGAACAAGTCCATTAAGCCTTCTGATCACCAGCTTCTTGAACGCTAAAGTGGGAAATCTAATATTAAGATGTCCTACAGCATGGACTGTTATGAAAACTAATAAAGACAAAGCATTTTCAAGTGTTCTGAAGCACTCAGTGCTAAGTACAATGAAAATAATGCAGCCAGAGGCCTCGAGCCTGTGCCAGATGGAACCAGCCTTGGCCACTCTTTCCCATACTGCTCCCAGCTGACAGAGGTTTGGCTGGAGATTCTGCCAGAATATGTGCATCAGTATTACCCCAGGAGCTGCAGGGCACACACCAGTGTGTGCTGAGCAAGCCCCAAGAAAGATGGAACCCACACGGGGGCACTGCTAATGCTGTTCTAGAAAACAAGCCCAGGGATTTTCCCAGCTCTACACATTGCTTTGTGTTTATCAGTGCTTTGACCAGCAGCTATTCCTTTGTGACAGACATGAAACTTTTTTTTTTTTTTTGAGATGGAGTTTCGCTCTTGTTACCCAGGCTGGAGTGCAATGGCGCCATCTCGGCTCACCGCAACCTCCACCTCCCGGGTTCAGGCAATTCTCCTGCCTCAGCCTCCTGAGTAGCTGGGATTATAGGCACACGCCACCATGCCCAGCTAATTTTTTTTGTATTTTTAGTTGAGACGGGGTTTCACCATGTTGACCAGGTTGGTCTCGATCTCTCGACCTTGTGATCCACCCACCTCGGCCTCCCAAAGTGCTGGGATTACAGGCTTAAGCCACCGCGCCCGGCCATGAAACTCTTTAAAAAAAAAAATCATCTTTTTAATTTTAGCAAGTTTTATTTAGGGAACCTGGCTGCAGGCAGGATTTCAGTCTTATATCTGTGTAAAGCCTGAACTGTTGGCCAGTTGAAATATTTCCTTGGAAAAACCAAGGTGTTTGATGTTGCTTAGCCACACCAATTGATTGGACTTCTCACTTCCTAACCAGTTGCCTTGGTGTTGCTTAGATGAAGCCCAGATTAATTTTTTTTCTCAGTCACTTTTTATAAAATCTGAAATCTGAAAGTGCAGCCCTAACCAGCTCACAAAATGGTCGGTTGTTCTTGACCTCATTAACAAAGGACTGTCCTTCCAACTCACACCAACCTGGGGGAGGAAATAAACCAGACAGCCCAAATGACGACAGAGTGGGGTGAAATAACCCCTCCCTGGGACAATGCCTTTTCCTGTTTCTGGAGGCTCCTCCTATTCCCACACTGGTTTCTGCATCCGTTACTTGGCCAGGATCCTCTTTCACATCAAAGTGTCCCTCCTTGGGCTTCACAAGTAGGGGCATAACCTTAGTTTCTACAGGAAGGCATTTTCATCCCAAAGGAAAGGGAAAAACCATGTGTTTGGTTGCTATACAATTACAAGCCACTTTCCTTGTTTTTTATTTTACAGTCATACACAAGGAAAGTATAGACAGGCTTTTAGCTACGATGGGCCAAACATTTGGTTCCTGGACTTCTACAGTTTGAGCTGGAAGCATTAAAATAATTAAACTGCAGCCATTCAGTCTTCATTAATAATATTAAATGCCTGAGTCAGGAAAAGTTTTAGGAGAGGATACGATTTTCTTTTTTACTTCAAAAACACATGCAAGGGCATAATCTGGACAGATATTTAAGGCAGAGAGGTTGAAGAATGCCATGCATTCCATCTCAGACTAAGCTATGGGGACTCTTCTTGGGAGGTCTGGATTTAAATCCAGTTTTGAATGGCTGAATGTAATCAGTGATGGTAGGGCCCTAAAGCTTTCCCAAAGCTGTCACTTTGTGTCATTATCAAAAGCAGTTATTTGGTACCTAATATGTCTGTGCATGGCAGATGTTTAAATAGGAATGTCCCTGCCTTTCTGGGGCCTCTGATCTAAAATGGTGCAGATACTCTTGGAAATGGGGTAAATAGCAGAACCTTGAGTGGAAGAGAGCATGTCCAGTAGTATTTTTTTAGTGTGTAATTAGGGTGGGGGGGACTAGAAAGTTTTAACTGGTGGAGAATACAATTCATCATCATTAGAATGGGACCCTTTAGAAGAGTATCACATTTTGGGGGTGGGAGCTGTTGATCAAAAGATAGCATGATTTTCAGCTGAGCATGGTGGCTCACACCTGGAATCCCAGCATTTTGGGAGACTGAGGCAGGTGGATCACTTGAGGTCAGGAGTTTGAGACCAGCCTGGCTACCACGGTGAAACCCTGTTTCTTTTTAAATTTATTTTATTT